GCACTTCTGTTGTTCATCACAATCAGATATGCAACAATAAACTCAAACTGCTGTTATTTTCCATCTTTTATCTAATCATACCAGTTTCATGTGAAGGCGAAAGCAGTTTGGTCGCGCGTGATCGTGCATGGAAAGTGAGCCACGTCATAATTTCGATTTCACAAAATTTCACAAAAAGCGGTTCCAACAATGACGAGTCGAACTCGATTAGATGGTGTTCGGTGACCGGAACGTCCGATCACTGACAGACTGTTGACAACAAACAAATTGACCGTTCGGTTCAAACAAACTGAACTGACATGACACTGCACTCGTATGAGCATCCGAGGAATAAACAGGGGAGGTCAGACGAGTGAGATTATTCATAACTGTTGTGCACGACGATCTGGATCACCATTATAAGGGAAAACCTCAGTGTTAAGCAGATACATAGTTTTCAATTTTCATGGTTGGCGACGCGATACATGTGGCTCGCATAATTTGATATCAATAGTTCAACGAGCGAGAGAGTTAAAAGGACGCGTATTGGTCTTATTGTACGTATACGCACAGTATGTATTTATTTGTTTACATCTCCGCACACGTGATTAGATGGCATCATTGTAAGACATCAAGCTGATTCTCTGGTTTCACGAAACGGACCTTGTTTCTCCAATCCGTTTTTGTCCGATTGCGCATATCGCCTCGTTAGTGAGATGAGATCAGAAGCTGATCGTAACGAGCACCATACCATGGTGTGTACAGTTTAACCAGTTCAGAGTTGCACTGTGAACGTCAATGAGAACTTCAACAAGTTCGACTCGGTACTCTCACGGGTATCGCAAACAGTTTCAACCAATTTGAACTGTTCAGTTACGTCCGTGTGATTGCCATTATTGCGGTGCAAACCAAACACCACCCCCGTTCGATGTTCGCTGATCCCCAATTTGTGCTCTCTCTCTTTTTTTCGGTACAACTGTTCACGTGCCCTTTGTGACCAATCAGAGCGGGTTTGATTGATCGAAACAGTCTACTGTACACCGCAATCGCTTACCACCTTTTGACCGACATAATCTAATTTGCACAAATTGATGAAATCGATCAATGTAGTTAAATAACACATGCATATACGCCATAATGGATCGTTTGAAGCCGGAAAAGTGAGTGATTAGACCAGTAAATGGTTCGCGCTGTCTTTCGGGGTGGGGGAATGGGAATCAGAAGATCAAATAAAAACAGACAATTTAGTTGGTTGGTAGTGACGCAGTGGTTTAGTCGCTATCATCCGCGTGTTCCCGACCCCATGGTCCGAGGTTCGAGTCCCACCATTGTCATCCATCTTTGGTGGTAGGCAGCTTTGCTGTTCTCCGGTTCAGTACCACACGAAACCTAATGGAGTCTTATGTGGTTCGTCACTCCAAATCCTGCAGGGCTTAGGTTACCGGGTTTCTATGACGGAGCAGCAGGTTTTCGTGGCTATGGGATCCGCCCCGTCTGTTGTTCACAACACAAATGTATGTAATCATAGGTAATATGTAATGACAGCAGAACCGGAACAACGTATTGCATAACTACACATACACACGCGCACACACAGAAATACTTTTCCGGGACCAGATGACATGACTGTGTGTGTGTGTGTGTGTATGTGCTCCACACTTACCGGCAGTGTAATCGTACATGGCCTTGGCAGTGTAGTAGATTGCGTGGGCTTCACACGCGGGGACTGGGGCCTGAAGTAGGAATATAGCAAAAAATAAACAGAAGGATGAGGAACAGAAGAGAAGATGGTTGGGCTCGGAGATTATCAACTGCGCGTACCTAAGGGGAATTTATGCAATGCAAACCTTATTTGCAGCTCGACGGGGGGGGGGTTAAGATGAACAAGTCTCAACGAACTATGGCGATGATTCTGTATCAGGTGTTGT